TAGGTACATATGGTTTCCTATATCAGACACTCTATCGAATGAGCTAAATCGAAGTTGTCCCTAGACGTGTCGGTACAGGAGGGATAGTAATTTTACTATCGGAAAATTTACACAATATTTAAATATACCTGATAATTTAAAAATATTCAAAACGCAACTGAATTGATCTATCTGTATGTTTGGTTTTTGTTGTCACTTTCGTGAATCTACCAAAATAGAGAAAAGTGCATTAATGATAGAAAGCTGGTCGTCGAACAGGTAAGTAATGTTCATATTTCTTTGTTCTTCCATAAATTGTATGCGTGATTTACCTTTCTTGCACCTATTGATGAGAATATGTCAGTGAAATGGAATCTCCAGTAAAAAAATACAGCTGTGTCGATAAGCAGTTTCTTCAAATATATGTAATATCGTCATGTGAATGTAGTTATAAAACATAATAAATCTAAAAATCACAGAAGCCTGTGCATTTGTAAATCTGCAGGTCCTTTTGGACACTCAACACGTCAGTTTAGGTCCAAACAAAGCTATATTGATAGATTAAAACAAAACTATATTGTAAAGTCAAAACATAGCTATATTGTAAATTCAAAACATAACTAATTTATTGACAGGTCCAAACAAAGTTATATTGTAAGGTTCAAACATAGCTTTATCATAAGGTCAAAAAAGGGGATTTATTGTAAGGTCAGAATATAGCTATAATGTTTGTTTCAAACATAACTATAATGTAACTATTCCTCATGTCCCTGAAGACTCACCATACATCAGTTTAGGTGCAAACATATCTTTATTGTAAAGTTCAAACAAAGCTATATTGTTTGATCAAAACATAGCTATATTGTTTGGTCAAAACATAGCTATATTGTTAGGTTCAAACATAACTACAATTAACTAATATTCATGTCCATGAAGACTTACCATACATCAGTTTAGGTGTAAACATGAAGTTATTGTCAGGTCAAAACATAGTTGTATTGTAAGGTCAAAACAGAGCTTTATTGTAAGGTTCTAACATAGCAATATTGTAAGGTCCAAACATTGACATATTGTTAGGTCCAAATTGAGCTATATAGTAATGTTCAAACACAGATAAATTGTTAGATCTAGACATAGCTATGGTGTAAGTTCAAACATAGGTATAATGTTACCTATCTTCAGGTCCCTCTTGACTCTTAATCAGTTTCCGTCAAAACATAGCTATATCGTAAGGTCCAATCATATATTTACTGTAAGGTCAAAACATAGCTATATTGTAAGGTACAGACGTAGCTATATTGTAAGATATATATATAGCTATAATGTAAGGTACAGACATAGCTATAATGTAAGATACGGACATAGCTATAATGTAAAGTATAAACATAGGTAGAATGTAATCTCCCAGGTCTATATTGACACTCAATACATCAGTTAAGGTCTAAACATATCTTTATTGTAAGCTCAAACAGATATAATGTAATTAATCTTCAGAACACCGTAAACTCTTCATACATAAGTTTATGTCCAAACATAGCTATACCGTAAGGTTAAAACTTAGCTTTAAAGTAACATTTACACCCCGAGCACTGTTGTTGATTACATTTTGTTTATTTTATCTTTACCCTATCTCGTATCTCAAAAAACTCGCAGGTTTTTTTCTTTTAAAAGTTAAATTTACCAAACCTATAGTTTTGCCGGAAAAACGAATAGTTTGCAATATATATCAACATTTTTTTGGCAATGGTAAGGGGATCCTTAAGTGTCTACGTGTGTACATTAGTCTACGTGAGAAGACTAATAAACTTATATAACTAATATATCTTAAGGTACAGACAAAGCTATAATGTAAGGTACAAACATAGCTATAATGTAAGGTACAGACATAACTGTAATGTAAGGTACAAACAAAGCTATAATGTAACAGGTCCATGTTGACACTCAACACATCGGTTAAGGTCCAACATAGTTTTACTGTAAGGTCCAACTATATGTATATTGTAAAGTCAAAACATAGCTGTGTTGTAAGGTTCAAACATAGATTTATTGTAAGGTCCAACCATAGCTACATGTATATTGTAAAGTCCAAACCAAGCTGTATTTTCAGGTACAAACATAGCTATATTATAAGGTACAGACACAGCTATATTGTAAAGTCCAACCATAGCTATATTGTAAGGTAAAAACATAGCTGTATTGTAAGGTCCAAACATAGCTATATTGTAAGGTAAAAACATAGCTGTATTGTAAGGTACAGACCTAGCTATATTGTCAAGTCTAAACAGAGCTGTATTTTCAGGTAAAAAACATAGCTGTAGTGTAAGGTACAAACATAGCTATATTGTAAGGTACAGATACAGCTATATTGTAGGATATACACATAGCTATATTGTCAAGTTCAAACAGAGCTGTATTTTCAGGTAAAAACATAGCTGTAGTGTAAGGTACAGACATAGCCATAGTGTAAGTTTCAATGATAGCTATATTGTAAGGTCCGAACATAGCTATATTATAAGGTACGTCATAGCTATATTGTAAGGTACAGACATAGCTATAGTGTAAGGTCAAAACATAGCTATATTATAAGGTACACACATAGTTATATTGTAAGGTACAGACATAGCTATATTGTAAGGTACAAACATAGCTATATTATAAGGTACACACATAGCTATATTGTAAGGTACAAACATAGCTATATTGTAAGGTCCAAATATAGTAATATTGTAAGGTCAAAGCATAGCAATATTGTACGGTTCAAACATAGCTTTAATGTAACGAATTATCAGGTCATTGTGGACACTCAACACATCAGTTTGCGTCCAAACATAGATATAGTTTAAGGTCCAGACATAGCTATATTGTTACGTCCAGACATAGCTATATTGTTACGTCCAGACATAGCTATATTGAATTGTCCAAGCATAGCTATATTATTAGGTTCAAACACGGATAAATTGTAAGGTCCAAACATAGTTGTTTTGTAAGGTCCAATTTAATTTGAATGTAAGATCTAAACATAGCTATAAGGTAAGGTCCAAACATTGTTGTATTAATCCAATTATCAGGATCATGTTGATACTCAACACAGCATTTTAGGTCCAAACCTGTATATTTTAATGGTTAAACAGAGCTATAATGTAACAAATTCCATGTTTCCTTTGATCAAAACCACAGTGACCAGACAATGTCTATTCGTTAAACTAAACAGTTGCTAAATATACAGGGGTCTGACACAAAACGTTTGGCTAAATAATCAGTGTTATTTACTCACAAATTTAATCAGAAATGAGCTGTCCCTGAATTTCTGCCTACAATTATTACCGTACTAGTAGTGGAAATAAACGATAATGGATGCCTCTATTATCGCTAGTAACGTGTTTGGTAATTTATTTATTGCATATGAATGTACATGTGTATCCGGTAAAAATGATCTGATAATGATGTATTCCTGTTCTCTTAAGGATCTTTCTCCCACTGCACTGTTTTCCCCTATATAAAGTAGCATCCATTTAGAACTTTCGTTTGGATACAATGGTAGCACATTTCGGTCAGGACAACCTGAAGTCACGAGTTCGAATCCCTGTCTTGTCTCGCTGAATTGTTTACACTCAGAACACTGTTGTTGATTATGTTTTGTTTATTTTATCTTTAACATTTCGCTTAAGATATATATTTTTTTCTTTTCCGGAATGATTTTTCAAAGCTTTAGTCTTGCCGGAAAACACTCGATTTCAGCAACGTGCTCGGAAGGAAAACAATGATTCCACGGCAAACCCATAAAACACTGTGGTAACACGCTAAACACCGATGCAAAAAGCGAGTTATTGCTAAATTATTGATAAGTTCATATTAATAGCACAGGTGGAAACTTCGATTCGTTTAAATATCTGCATCACCAAAGAGTAGCGTCATCGGTCCCATACGTAAATTGTACTAGCGTACGCTTCATAAGTGCGATTTTCAACTGGGACCGAGATTGGACAACCTCGATATGCAGGGATTACGCTCACATTCGCTCCCTGCACCATTGGACTATGGCATAGCAAAGATTGGTCTCAGGTAGCAAAAACTGACCAATCGCTAGGCTGATGGATGTCCTTTGAAGATTACAAAGGAGAGACGCCCGACTTCGAAGCCTATCATTTGTTACCGTTACGTGACCACGAGATTCTTTTGATGTACATCAAACAATCGGACTAGTCTTCTCGTCTCGTCCACAAGGTGCTGCACATTGAGCCTTCAATTTTGCTATGACATATTCCAGGGGTGCAAAGAGCGAAAGTGAGCATAACCCCTGGATATCGGGGATGCAGATTGGAGGGAAGATCAGTTATTGCATTATACTTATGCAGTGTTTGTAGCTTGTATGAATGTATCGTTTCCATGTACTGTATAGGAATACACATGACTTCGGATGCATTTTATTTAAAAGAAACTGATATGTCTGGTCAAACATATTTCAAGGAAAGTCTTTTCACAATTTAAAAATTCCAAATCGTTCAAGACTCTGTAGCACCAAACCTATCTTTAGGAAATAGGAAAAAACTAAAATGCAAAAACTCGCTGATCAATCTTGATATTTTTATGTATTGTTTTCGTAATATAAGGTATATCTTTGGCTGTCTTTTGTAAGTCTTGAAAAAAGGAGTAGGCTGCTCCAAAAAAATCTGCTTTATTTTGTCGCCAATGCCGACATCGTTTTGTTTTCTATCATATTATTTTGGAATAGGTTTATGTGAATAATCGCCCTAGGACATGTCCTAGGGCGATTATTCACATAAACCTATTCCGATTACATATATTTACGCATATTTAAACACATATGACTTTATACCGGGTGTTTTATTAACCGGGTATTTTATTTTCACGCTATAGATCGGTAGTAAAAGTACATGTACCTTATTTACCTATAAAGTACGTAATGATATGCCACTGTGTATACTAAATACGTGTATCAACAGGCGATCACTGAATAAATTAGGATCTACCTGAGAACGCAAGGACCTATCAGCGTTATGAAAATCGTTCATGCACAGTGTGAATATCTGTTCAAGGTGTCCTGTCGCAGTCTTGTCGCAATATCCAGCTGGAGAGTGACGTATTACCAGGTTAGAATGATTAATGTTTGAAATTTAATGTGTAAGAAAACAATTATTGAGTGGAAGAATACGTGTTGGTATACAAAAAGGCATCCAAATTGGCGTTTATCCGTCTGTCCTGCATTTTCTAGTACCTGCATCCTAGAACCCGACTAGAATAGACGGACAGGCCACCGGATCGTAGGAATTTGTAACAGTAGGTATGTGAACTGTTTCTTCTATAAAATAACGCAAATGTAACAATAAGTGGAATGAAAACGGTATTTATTATGTGTGATATGGTCAGTTAGTTATGTAATATATGTGTGTTATTTAGAGGTTAATATATTACCATTTTGATATCATACCCATTATCAGCCCGAGTGTCCTGATATGAGCCAGAGGAGCCGAAGGCACCGTGGGCTGATAATGGGTGTGATATCAAAATGGTGATATCATAAACTTATTATCTTTATACTTATACATGAATGTCTTTTTGATAATAAATAAAAAATAAAAACAATAAAAACACTTGTAAGAAGTGATCTCATCAACCTTCTTATGGCTAATGTCGGACTCGGTTTTCCTGTGCGTGTTTGAATTCTGTATATAATGTTGTGTGACCGTTGGGAACCAGGTTATGGATAGAGTATATAATGTTGGGCGACCGTTGGGAACCAGGCTATGAATATATTATACAATTGTGTGCGACCCTAGGGAACCAGGCTATTAATAGAGTATATTACGTTGTGTGATCCTAGGAAACCAAGCTATGAATAGAGTATATATTTTTGGTGACAAAGGCTATGAATAGATTATATAATGTTGTGTGACCGTGGAGTACCAGGATATGAATAGAGTATATAACGTTGTGTGACCCTGGGGAACCATGGTATTAATAGAGTATGTAGTGGTGGGAGATCCTGTGGAATCAGGCTTTTAATAGAGGATATTACGTTATGTGACACTGGGGAACCATGGTATTAATAGAGTTTGTAATTGTGGGAAACCCTGGGGACAATCTCATTGAAATCGGATGTTAATAAAAATACCTACGGTTCATACTGTACGTAATAATGTATTTATTCAGATTGCCCTTTGGGAACTTCAAAATGAATAGAATATATTATACGTATTATGACACAGACAGGCAAATCATGATATGAATAATAATAGAGGGTGAAAGTACGGCGACCCAGAGGAGCCGCTTTATACATTTACAACTGTATAAGTTGACATAGTAGTAGTAGTAGCTATAGACAGTGTATGTGTAAAAATTGAGTGTCTAAGTAGATCTATGATGGCCATGGGGAAAGCAAGATAGGAATAGTGACATAAGTAAGGTGATTTTAGGGAACCCTGGTAAAAGTTAAAGTTTATGTTTGGTGATCCTAGAAATATGTATGGACATAGTGTACAAGTTAGGATGCATAAATAGTATATGTTTGATGATATATCTCCTTGGTGTTGGGAACTGTTGATATTATTAGTGCACAAATAATGTCACTATGGAAAACCATGATATAAATATACAACCGATTACGTTATATCACCAGTTATTTAGTGACCCATAGGGAACTTCGATAATAATATATCGATCGAGCGATCATTCATTTTTCCTTCAGCTTTGAGGCCTGTATGACTTTTGATACTTACCATATACATTCATGCTTGCTATGATTCCAATATTCCGGTGTATTTTCCTATGCGCTCGATCTTATCGCGAAACCGGTTTTGTTTTGTCTTAAGTGAAAAAACACGTGGACCGGAAATGACTAAAACGAAATAACCCGTGGACACTAACAGTGAGGACATGTTCCTTCTGTAGAGCGCTCCGGTTGAGTACCCACTAAAACACCGATAGCTAAACAGGATTTAACTGAACATTGCGGAGAAACGAAACAGTGCATATCGGGATTTTTTATTTGTTTTGTTAATGTATTCAAGACCTCTTTCAGATTATATCAACAGATATAATTCTGTCTAGGTATACTATTCGGAACGCATGTGTCGTTATCATTGGGAACCATATGTAGTCAGAGGGGATGTTACGGCGTTATGATTTCTCATCCGACACGATTTTAACACCCGGGTGAGAAATCGTGCTAAATTGCTGCTTTGGCATCACGATTTCTCACCCCTGCACGATTTCTCAAGGACACGTTTTCTCACTCGGCGTGGTTTCTCACCCCAACTCTCTCTCCATTTGGGATGGATTTTGTCCGTTTGTGCCTTAGTGTAATGAGCTGACATGATCTCAAATGAGTGGTTGTTCAACGTACATCATGTCTTATAGTTATTGATCTATTTATCTATCAAGCTATGTATTCATTTACTTTTGAAATACGCAACAGGAGTCTTAAAAAATATTCACAGATTCAAAAAGACTGTTGCCCGATTCATACAATGCACGTGTGCGCACCTTCCCGGATTGCTCTGGAAAGGTACATACATTTCCTTTTTAATTATAAAGTATAACAATAAAAACTCGTAAAAGAAACTTACCCAGCAGTCGCAAGTGATGCATCAGAAAATGATTGCAATGCCATACTACTAGGGTTGTCAAACCGGTCTTATTTTTGTAACCGGTTACTCAACAATCTATCGATCGAGTAACCGGTCAATCGGTCAGTTTGGTAGTCAAATAATAAACAGCAACAAATACATTATATATGTTGGGAACATGTTCTACCTAAAACGTATTTACACCACAAACATACATGTTTATCTTAAATAGCATGATAGTTTACTCGTGTATGTCAAGGTTAACACAGGAAATAGTTTCATATAACCTCAGTAAGTATATTTCATGGACAACACATGTCGGAACGCAGTAAGACGCGCGATTCAGTAACAGATATCTGTACTCGAAATCATATGCGGTAATATTGTTTTAGAACACATTTTGTTTGACAACCGTCTATTTTAAAAGTTTCCTCATCAGATTATATTATATATCGCATTAAAAGCGTGTTCTATCTCTAAAAGTTGACATTTCACAACTTTGTATTCTGGCTTCCTTTTAAAATCTGTTGTCAGTATTTACAAAAGAGTACAAAATTAACACTAACATGTAATCCCTGAACACTGTTTTTATTATTAATTATCCGATTTTGGTCGCATCTATACAAATGTAGATAATTTGTAGGTCTAAGCCAGGGAAACATGGGCTCCCAAATGAGGTAAGTAAATGTCCGACTATTCGGTTAAGGATTTTGGTAACCGGTTTGTGGTCTTCCGACCAAGTAACTGGTTAACGGGCTAACCATTGACAACCCTACATAACACATTTGCATGCCAAATCTTCAAAATCGGTCAATATATAAATGTCGACCAATCAGGACCTGCCATAACACGGACATTTTGTCAAATAAAACAAATCAAAGCAGATCGCAGTAGTGTTCGTAGCGACATTGCACACTTTTGCATAGGGATATTGTAAAATGAATAGATTTTTACCTTAATTGCAGTCCATAAATCAGAACAAAAATTATTATAGCCCGAAATGAAAGGCCATGATTCAGACCTGTTTGGAAACTTAATATCGAATACCATTTGTGTATATATGTATTATATACTTGTAACTGCAGTACGGCTCTAGATCTATTACTATGATACTTGTATCCCTCTGTACAACCACGCATGCTTATACATTAAATAAGTGTATGTTATATTTCTCTGTATATCATTGTAAGTCAAAGGTGTTGAAATAAAATAAAAGGTTTGAAGTTTGAAAAAGTTTGCACAGTAGTTTCTAAGTTTATAATATGGTAATATGCCTACTCCTAGAACGATTTCTCACCAGGGTGAGAAATCGTGCAGGTGTAAGAAATCGTGTTGCGAACTTTGGTGAGAAATTGTGTCTGAGTGAGAAATCGTGCCGTAGCACCCCACATGCAAAAAATACTGGTATTTTCGAGTAGACATATGATAAGTTGTATGAATATATTCTGCATTGCTAAAAACGCAAAGACAAAAAATATTTTTTTGAATCAATAATCCTGACCTAAAGAGGGTTTATGTAAACATTCGGTAAAATGCCCTCTCCCGCTCCCCCCAATAATGTTACATGTTTTAACTAAAAGGGTGGAAGAAAAGCTGTCAATGTCACAAAAATTCCTCGAAGCAGAATTCATATTTCCGATCGATGTTCAAAAATACATTACATCATAGTGTCGTTGAAAAGATGGATTTTGTCTGCTTTCACTTCTGCACTGCCTTTTAATTTCAAGCTGTATTTGGGTAAGAGGATGTATTGTGTGTTCAAATGTTGTGTTGCGATATATTTAAATCGTTCTTTATAAAGCAAAATATAACTAATGTTTCAAAGAAAGCTATTTTGTCCTCATTTATTTTGCCGTGTAACTACATATATCCCCGACAGAAGTGATTGAATCGCTCAGTCCTGACACTGGGATAGGACAGGCAAGTGACCTTTCAACCCCATGAATTTTCAACATCATATTCAAAACACATATGTTAAATGGTTTTAACTGATACTTGTGAACTTCTCAGCTATCATTCTGGTTTAGAGTACCTTATCCCTGTCAAACAACTTCATTCTTTCAATAGGTGCCTATCATTTAAGCTATAAACATTACATTTACACAGTTACGAAATTAATGAGTTATTTCAAAGGGATCCATATCAGGTTCCTGCCTGTTTACTTAATTATTTTGTTTTCTATGTCAACGACATTTTGTTACATGTATATACTGTTCATCCATTATATACAAAAAACGTGAGTGGTAAAGTACACTGAGCATGCATTTCACTCCTAAATATATTCCTATGGGGATTCTGTTGAACGAATCAAATCAAAAATACAGCTTGGCCTATATCTAATTAAACAATTTCATCCTTAAAACGGTACCACAACCAGACATGACCAAAATCTCACAAGTAGCCACTATACATTTACAAATGTATATTTTATAAAGCTATCTTTGCAAACTAATACATATAAATAATTATGCTAATGCGTTACGATTTCCTTTGTTATCGATCGTTTGTCTATATAAATCAATTATAGTGACCTCTTATGAGTCAGTTCACGGGAAAATGACAGACAAATCTGCAATTCGAGAGGCATTTTCGCATTATACTGACAAATTTATTTGTTTTATAAATTTAAAACTAGTTGGGAAAAATGGTTAAACTGGAATAGGCCTGGTTTCAAATTTTCATAATTGCGAGGATTTCACAAACATTCGAGTACAACATCCAGCCTGTCTCGGACTGGATATGATCATATCCACTGACCAACCTTAATATTTGTGAATAAAACAACAAAAAACCCACAATTTTAGTTTACTTCACATATTTAGCACGTATATGGTATATCAAATTTAGGTGTACATTGAGCATACTAGGCTATCATTTACAATAAGACCAATTATCAGTGATATTAGTCGAGACGGTCGCAAATAGTGAATCACACCGGTAGGCTCCTATTTGTTGACGGTAAAGGAGATTTTCTCCTTATTTAAAATTCGTTAGTTGTCCTGGTAACAGATGTTATGTAGTTGAAAGCACACAAAAACAAACAATATATACATGTTACATGTTAACAGATATAACATTTGTATTAGCTGTTAGCCGTTGAAAGGAGTAATGTGTAATGACGTCCGTGGTTGGTATCGTTTCACATTAAACGTCAGTATGGGGCTAATTTCAGTGATCATTGGTTTTATTCTATATTTGAACGTAGTACATAACCATCGTATCAAATGCAGATGTACGACAGACGTGCTAAATATGCGAGATATTCTCATTTATGCTGCTTTTTAAAAAAAAAAATATCCCCGATCATAACCGATCGACACAGACTAAACGCTGTGCAAATTTTGTTTGTGAAATCCATGCAATCCTGAATATTTAATCTAGTACTATTCAAGCTAAACCGTTTCTCGTAACCGAATTTGCTATGTATACGTATATCAAACAAAAACCTCAGAAATATCCCTCGATGTGCAGATTTTTTCCGCTATTTAAATGAACTTAATCATTAGTGGTCACTTTGTGCTCCACATCGTACATATCTACTTGTATTATTGGCGTATTATTGTACTTTTTGCAAGCAAATACATTGTATGGTATTCTGTATTCAAATTAAAAGTAACCAATTAAAAAGCCGCGGGTAAACCGTTTCAATGTTTCAGTTGAGCAAAGACGGAAATATCGCTGCGTCACTAAAATGTTTTAATTTAGTAGCATATTTTGTGTAGCCATTCATCTGATAATTTCACAATTGTCAAAAATACTTCACCCTTTTCAATGGGAAAGTCAACACAATGCTACGTTTTCTGCAGTTTTGCATGATTGTGTTTACATAACTATATGGTATATGATATTTTGTAAACCCAATCGTGCAAAACAGCAAACAACTACTGTTTTACTGTAAACGAAAATCTGCGACTTTAAATAAATTTAATATCATTCTGTTTTGATTTTGCATTCAACAAGGGACAATCAATATGGGGACCGCAGTACTACGTCATGCATTTGTTGGGTCAGTGACAGAATTACTCCGCGCCAAATATGGATTGATTGTGACGTCACAGCGCCAACTTGATGGCTATGTAGATGTGAATGTTTGGGTTGACGTTTCTGATGTAATCACCAACCCGCACATTAATGAACGACATCATGATGGATATGTTGTCAAACTTATCAACGAAAATGACTCCCAAAGACCTCCTCTACTAGGTATGGCTAAGACAACGATGTCCTAATTTTTGGTAGGAAAGAGGAATAAACCCGTTTACCACACAAAGGTCAAAACGAAATTGTTTAATTGTTGCCCCATATCTGAAGTGGAAATAATTCAGTCAAAACGGATAAATCAGGGACACTTCATCCACTATTTAGTGTTAGCTGTAACCGCATCTATAGACAAACAAATTAGCCATGTCATACAAAAGTCACAAATTCAGACTGAAAGTTTGTATACAGATTGGTTCGTCATATTTTTAATGAAATATTTCAGGGATAAAGTTTTTCTCGAAATTCCAAAGGTCACGCTCGCTAACGTTGTCATGCTCGCTAACGTTGTCACGCTCGCTAACGTTCTCTAGAGCCCTGCAATTTATATAATGATAAAATCGAATGTACGCAATTAACTTTTTGACTAGCTCAAGAATAAAGAAAAAAATAACCGATTGCTAGGCTGATATTTGTCTTTTAAAGATGACAGAGGAGGGGGGCGGTTAACCAACATGGTTAACTTCTATAATGTAACAATCTGATGCCATTGTTAAACGATTGGTTGCTGTGCATTTTTGTCACAATCTCACAATTACGATGAGTCAACATTTTGTAAAAGGGGAATATTGTTGAAGGTCCCAAGTGTGAAGCATTTCGTGTTTTTGTGGGGTCAGAGGCAAGCCGCTCCTCCTTTCTGATGGTGAGGCACCTAGTCTTTAAAGCCGAGATAAGAGGGAAACTATTTTGTGATGCTGTACAATCTGACAAATTTTCAGTCCCGCATCCATTGTTATTCCCGACCCCAAGTTCATTTTTCTTAGTTACATTAATACATTACATGTAAGACTCATTGATACTGTTTAAATGTCCTGCTTCATTTAGTTTAATTAAGATATCGTTAGCAAATCATTTTTATGTAATCAACTAAAACAGTGTCTGTATATTGCATCAAGAACGTCTCAAAAAAATGCTCTCACAAACTATGCTCCGTTTTTACCGCTGTGTGATTTAATTCAGATGCTAGACAGCGGTTAATGTTGTACGTCAATAAGGCAGGTATTCCGGCACCACTTCCGGTTAGAACCATTACCGGATGTTATACAAGCTCAGTGGAACTTGTCACGAAAGGTAATATTTTCCTCTCTTTTCACCGATTATTTTTGTAAAGAGGATATGATAGTAACATATTTAAATAGATACATAACGTGTACATCCCCGTCCATCATGTTCAGTCATATCCGGTACTGTCAAGTTTTGCCCAGTACCAATTAAATGTTATTGATCTAGTGGCTAATACTGACTTTTTAAGGATTCTTGTTACATTTACGAACACTCGAAATTGTTATTATCAGGCATGACTACAGTTTTGAAAAATCAGTTCTGGAAATAAATCAAATCCTACAAACGTTGTTGGACGTTAATGATAAAATAATAGATATGAATTAAGCAACACATATTCAACAGTGTTCTGAATTTTAAAAAATGCAAAGCTTAACCAGGACCCGTATTCATGGAACCATTATCATGCTCAAACATGTTTTTGTGCCGAAAAAACTAACCTGTTACCCGTCTAAATCATATGACATAATATTTGTTTTCCATTTTACATTCTGCCTTAAATAACCATCAGCTCTCTATTTAACCAAGCTTCTATAAAAAAACACTTTAGATTAATTAAATACTTAACCTTTTTATAACTCTGGATTGGTGCACTTGTAGGTGACGTCATAAAACGGCAAATTGTAGTTATGTCTTTCTTTCGGGGAATTGTACTGTCTGACCTCTCCATGACCCCAGATGTGCTACAAGAATTGGGGAGAATTACGGGAAAATTAAACATCTGCATGCAGGTCAGTCAGTTGGTCATTGCCAGTTTTATATGTAATATTAACCCAATTCATCGCTGTTTATATGTATGTATACTGCATTTTTTAACAAATGGCCTTTGAGATAATATATTCCATGTCTCTGCAGTTTTGATAATTTATCAAGTGTCCGTCTTGTAGTCAATGGTCTGGATAGATTCACATAGTACTAGAATGAAATAGTTTCTCCCAAACATCCAGCATTTGAACTATGAACAGCACTAATCAAAATATAAATCTGGACTGACCACAAATCATAAAATAGATCCAAGACCAACTACCAGATTAACGGGTGTCCGCGTGATGGCAGCTCCCTGTCAAAGATCTGTATCAGTTGAAATGCAAATACAATATTTGACTACGAACCTGTCAAACGCTGTTAAATACCTTATCACCTAGTCTATGCATTATTATATATATATTGTCACTATATCCCCGGCTTCATTAAAGCATTTAAATGAACAATACAAGTAGTATATTCTTACAATTGTTAATAGAAGTATGTCAAGTTATATAACTTGACATAAATTAAAGGGTGATAACTCTTTGGCTAATCTTCAGACGTTTCCTGACATTACGTCTCTGGAATATGACAGTGTGTGGAAGGTTTGTGAATGTGGACAGCTCCTTAGCCTGGTGGAACACGCTCCTGGTGAAAAACTAAGAACCATGTCCATTAGTATCATCACGGAATTCAACTCAAAAGTTGTCCCTAATCTACAGACGTATCAGACAGGTTTGTACATTCTTAGAAAATTTGAGGTTCAGAATCATTTGTTCACCTTACACTATTCTGAATATCCATAAAATTGCCACACATACTAATATTATTTGTATCTATTTGTATTAATAAAGTCAATATAAAACTCCTTGATATTCCCTACAGTAAAAACCTCAATACAATGCTTCCCTTTTCATTTGCCATCTCACTTAATGCCACCACACTTTCGGGTTATTTTTCTTCTCTTTTTCTTTGGAATTCATTTCCAACTTTTCTCATTTCATCGTCAAACCCCTTTATAACGCCAAAAGTTCACCGGATGATAATGCTGGCAGTATAACGAGGTTTTAATGTATGTTGATATATAACAGGGGCTTTAATTTAAGTATCAGTACATCTACATCGCCTTTTTCTGTCTGCGGTATTCTTTACCATGTTTCCTTTTGTGGTTTGCCAACTTCCTAAGGGAATGCTATGATCTCATTACAAAAAAAGCACACATATATTTTAATGATTAGGAAAGCAAATAAAAGTATAAATGCGTAAGGTGGCTAACCAACGTTTTAAACGTCAGATTCCAGACGATTTAGACGGTGTCTGGACGCTAATATGTGTCAGGGCGAAAAACATACCTAATGTTTCAGCATTCAAATGTATTTAAGTAAAAAGAAAAATCTGAATTTAATTGTTAGTTTTTCTGAAAAAAAAAGTTGTGGAAAAATTGTAAATCAATAACGGTTTATTCTCAATTACAGGGTTAATCCACCACGATGTTGGACCACAAAACATCGTTATGAGACAAGACATGGACCAAAGATGGAAAATGGCGGCCATTTTGGATTTCGGTGATGTCTGTTCTTCGTGTTATGTATTTGAGGTAGCCATTTTGCTTTCAAACATTTTCATGAATGAATTTTCAAGATCAATGACGACCTCTGAAATGGCGCTGACTCGGGACACGGTATTTGATTCCTATACGGCAGTGAAGCCATTGTCGACAAATGAAAAAGAAGTTGTTGACATTTGTGTTGAAGCACGTATTTTACAATGTTGTCTTCTTGGAGAAAAAACGCGGGAAACAGACCCAGGAAACGACTACATTGGGGACTATATTTGCTGGGAGTTGTTAGAAAGCTTGTGTAATACTTGCCGGGATTAAAAGGAAACGGGATATTTTATTTAGCTATCATTACATTTCTACATGTCAATATACTTACGTTTATGTAAGCAATCATTACTTCATTATCAGTAAAGGTTAATTTGAGCTTACAAAATTTGAACTAAAACTGATCTGAAATTACGGTAAAATTCATATGAAGTTCATTTGGGTCAATATCATGTCAAATTCGGGTAATTATTCAGCTGAAACCTGTGCTTATGACAGGTCAATTAATTTACGTTCCCTGTGTATGAAAATTACATCAAAACAAATGACAGTGATGATACTCTCATTTGTCCTCATAAATCATCAGCTAAGGCAGCATATTGTGATGTAATGTAAGAGATAATATTCAGATATGTGCCTCATGTTTCCTTATCAATGTTGGTTCTCTTCATTATACTTTTTTCACAAGTCCCCATATTTTCCTTTGTATCGAAACACAACGTTTCTTTTAAAAAGATAAGACAGAAATTCCATCAATAAGTATTCCATTTCTTTATATTCCAAAATAAACGTTAATTGAATATCTTGCTGATATTTATCAGTGATGCAAATGAAAGAAATCAACTTGCAAATATTTCATGTTTTAACCAAAAAGTGCGGAAAATGAACACGTTTTTTTTTGCAATTATAACATTATTAAATGTTTTGACGATGCAATGATTACGCAATTATGTATCTGCAAATTTACTCTGGAATTACACTTAACTACATATCTGGTTCCGATCGGACCAACCACTGACACAAATAGACACACTCACTCACACACACACACACACACACACACATACACATGCCTCTGAATTAAACCATACACATTCAACTTCTCACGTTCGGAAAATGATACTACCACATGATTGCAGACCAATTTTTTTAACGTGAGATAAAGCAATATGATTGTAGGCATTTAACAAACATATATTTTTCTCAAAGTAGCTTTAAAGCACCAAATTACTGCCAGTCATGTGTTCATCACAACAGTGTATCAATTGCACAATCTGCTATAGGAAAAATAATGATGATATAAAAATGTCCATATATTAAATGTAGTTAGCCAAATAGCACAAGTGTTGTATGATCCTAGTAGCTAAACTTGTTTTAGCTGGTTGTTAAGCACTGATTTAAATGACGAACTAAACTAAACTAATGATAGGTTCCAAATCTTCCAGCGCCATTTAATGCTATGGTAATGTGACGTCATTATTTCGTTGTCGGCGTAGTATGGCTCGCCATTGTTGTTGTTCGGTTCAACATTTCGGGAAGACAATTGAACATCAAAACAAGGTAATGATGTGAAATGGTAGCAGATATTATTAAATGCATATTTATAACATTTGTTGATGCTTATTAAAGAAATATTACACACACATACATTGTATCCGTCTGACTTCTTAAATTACATTCGTGTATTCCACGAATTGACATATGGCATGGGAGCTGAAGCACATGCGAAAGATACATCTTTCATAGGAACACGTACTTGGTACCTATGGATCCCATTATCGTCGACATTTAAAACGCCAGAAAGCATCCATTCAGGAATTGTAATGAAAGTAAGAACTTGAATAATGTAAGGATTGATATACAATTCCGTCTTTGCGTATAACAGAGTTCTTGGGAGCAGGTATTGATTGTTACGTCACTTGTTTGTGAGAGTAACGTCATCAAATTTTGAGAAAACGACGTAATTTTCTCACACAGACCAATTACGTAACAATCAATACCTGCCCCCAAGAGAAGATAACTCTGCAATACGCAAAGACGGAAAAGCAATATGGAAAAGCCCGAACACTAACAGTTCCCAGCAGCAAAACATTCGCGTGCAATAGTTCTTGGTTAACTATTTTATACAAATGTTTGATAGCCGTGTAACGGTAATACACATGTTTAGACATTTAAACATTGAAGTGCGTTGTTGTATACAGTAAGTGCGTACAGTATATATAAATACCACAACTAGTGCATCATGATTGATTACCTCGCAAAAGTGTGTACCTCATTTCGACTCTAGTCTGTAAATATCTTATCAAAACAATTTCAGTAATTATCAGTATTCCTTTTAAGTATCTTGATATCATAGAAATTAAAAACATGGCTATACAAATTCTGCTTTAAGTTACAATTAGTGTAAATATCGTGTATGCATGATCAGTGAATAGGCAAATCATCGTCCATGGATGGTCACCGGTATCTATCGTTACAATAACAACGTCATAATAATGGTGGCGTTAGCACGTGTACCGTGACTTCTGCAGCCTATTAAGTTGCAACGCCGTTCTGTGGTAAATATTAACACATTCACTGTTGTTTACATTGTTCTCAACAACACTTTCCACCCAAACACGTTTTGTCTATCAGGTGCTTACTTGTCTTTACAAGTATCCATCAGTTTGTCAGCCAGGGAAAGACAGTCCATGTCACATTCGTGCATGCACAGAAGAAGCTGTTTCAAAGTCGGCCGGAAGTCCTCGTTCTGGATCCACAATGTCGTCATGGCGGCAAGTTTTTCTTTGATGTCGTTACTCGTACAATTTAGATCGAATTGGTCCAAAGTCGTCGGGTCAAAGCCAAGCTCAATAAAGAGATTAAAATACGACTTTCCAATGTAGGCGACGATGGTTGGTATGTCTTCTTGTGTGGGACAGGTTTCTAATAGCTCCTCGGGGACATCTAGTCCTTAAATACAAAAATCAGTGTCGTTATATATGTACAGGGTACAGCAGGAACATCTCAAATATGTATAGTTCTCAAGACCCGTGTTTTATGAAAAAAGAACGTCACACACACAGAGGTGAATTACCTTTTAAAAAATGAAATAGGTACAGTATTTCAAATATGAATTACACGGCATTACACAGCTGTTTTGTACTTATAGGACTCATTGGTTATGATAAGGGCCAAAACGTTTAAATTCCATATTGGTCTAAATTAATGTTGAAAAATTCTTTTTTATGAATTTTCAAATTTAGAGCATCGCTGGTTCATTTTAAATTAAATAATGACTAACATGTGCATATTATGAAACATCCCTTTACTCTAAGCAAGTGCGTGAGGCTATCAAGGTTACATAATATCGGGGACTAAAACACCAACCTACGAAGTCTGCCACCTTATATCGTGAAAGATATATGTCACACAAACGCGCAGATGAATGTATGTTAACGGTAATTGTTAGGACATTCCTAATTTTCAAATGAAAATGAGTCGAAATTTTATTATATGATTCACCAGACAATGAAATATTTTTTATGTAAATTTAGTAATAAAAAACAAACGCTACTGTTTGGTAACCATGATGTAAATAGCCGACCGCGTTATTCATAAGATACTGTACATTTATCATAGCGAATGGAAATTGTATCTTAACTTTCATCACGTGCATCATCTCGTATAAATATTGAATTTGCTTGTGTTTTAAGCATTATACCTTAAAAATCAGTAAAGACCGCACCACGGAATAGAAATTACGCGCTCACTTCCGTAGCATTCGTTCGCTCTTTTGTGTGCTGGTGTTTGCATAAATGTGCGCTTTTGTGCAGATAGTAGTTAGATCTTATGCATCCTCGATATCCAGGGGTTACGCTCACTTTCCTCTCTACACCCCTGGAACATGTCATAGCAAAATTGAAGCCACGAACATAGTTGTTTGATTGGTCTCAGGTAATAAAAACTGACCAATCGCTAGGCTGAGACCTGCTCTTTGAAGATTACAAAGGAGAGACGTCCGACTTCAAAGCCTGTCCATTTTTACCGTTACGTGACCGCGAAATTCTTTTGAAGTACATCAAAGGATCGCACTAGTCTTCTTGTCTCATCAACAAGGTAGCGCACACTGAGCTTTCAATTTTGCTATGATATAGTGCAGGGGTGCAGAGAGCAAAAGTGAACGTAATCCCTGGATATCGAGGATGGATTTTATGAAACGAAAAAAATCAGAGGTTTATATGAAATAATGAATAAAAGGTATTTATTTGTGATCGGTATAATTTGAATTATTTCAAAACTATCTCCATATTTACGTTAATCCGATCGCTATTGCACATCATTCATCGTGTGCCCAGATTAGCGAGAACAGAAATCGGCCATTTTTTTTTGCTTTCGTACTTGGTGCAAACAACGTGCACTAATCGTTTGAACACTGTACATACGAAGCAGATAGTAAAACCTTATGCGACCCCACAATTGTAATTATCTATATATATTGTATGTTCTATAATATATGTTTCTATATGTACTGTATGTTTCTATATCTATTGTATGTTTCTATATGTATTGTATGTTTCTATATGTATTGTATGTTTTTATATGCATTGTTTGTTTCTATATGTATTGTATGTTTCTATACATTGTTTGTTTCTATATGTATTGTATGTTTCTATGTGTATTGTATGTTTCTGTATGTATTGTTTGTTTGTATATGCATTTTATGTTTCTGTATGTATTCTATATGTATTGTATGGTTTTATATGCATTGTTTGTTTCCATATGTATTGTTTGTTTCTATATGTCTTGTTTGTTTCTATATGTCTTGTTTGTTTCTATATGTCTTGTTTGTTTCTATATGTATTGTATATTTCTAAATATATTGTATGTTTATATATGTATTGTATGTTCCTATATGTATTGTATGTTTCTATATGTATTGTGTGTTTCTATATGCATTGTATGTTTCTATATGTATTTTATGTTTCTGTATGTATTGTTTGTTTCTATATGCATTTTATGTTTCTGTATGTATTTTATGTTTCTATACGTATTGTATGTTTCTATATGTATTGTATGTTTCTATATGAATTGTATGTTCCTATATGAATTGTATGTTTCTATATGAATTGTATGTTCCTATATGTATTGTATGTTTTTGTATGTATTGTATGTTTCTATATGAATTGTATGTTCCTATATGAATTGTATGTTTCTATATGAATTGTATGTTCCTATATGAATTGTATGTTTCTATATGAATTGTATGTTCCTATATGAATTGTATGTTTCTATATGAATTGTATGTTCCTATATGAATTGTATGTTTCTATATGAATTGTATGTTCCTATATCTATATGTATTGTATGTTTCTATATGTATTGCATGTTTCTACATGTATTGTATATTTCTATATGTATTTTATGTTTCTATATGTACTGTATGTTTCTATATGTATTGCATGTTTCTACATGTATTGTATATTTCTATATGTATTTTATGTTTCTATATGTATTGTATGTTTCTATATGTACTGTATGTTTCTATATGTATTGTATGTTTCTATACGTATTGTATGTTTCTAAATATATTGTATGTTTCTATATGTATTGTATTGTTATATATGTATTGTATGTTTCTATATGTATTGTTTGTTTCTATATGTATTGTTTGTTTCTATATGTATTTTATGTGTCTGTATGTATTTTATGTTTCTATATGTATTGTATGTTCCTATATGTATTGTAAGTTTCTATATGTATTGTTTGTTTCTATATGTATTGTTTGTTTCTATATGTATTTTATGTGTCTGTATTTATTTTATGTTTCTATATGTATTGTATGTTTCTATACGTATTGTATGTTTCTAAATATATTGTATGTTTCTATATGTATTGTATTGTTATATATGTATTGTATGTTTCAATATGTATTGTATGTTTCTATATGTATTGTATTGTTATATATGTATTGTATGTTTCTATATGTATTGTATTGTTATATATGTATTGTATGTTTCTATATGTATTGTATTGTTATATATGTATTGTATGTTTCAATATGTATTGTATGTTTCTATATGTATTGTATGTTTATATATGTATTTTATGTTTCTATATGTATTGTATGTTCCTATATGTATTGTAAGTTTCTATATGTATTGTTTGTTTCTATATGTATTGTTTGTTTCTATATGTATTTTATGTGTCTGTATGTATTTTATGTTTCTATATGTATTGTATGTTCCTATATGTATTGTAAGTTTCTATATGTATTGTTTGTTTCTATATGTATTTTATGTGTCTGTATGTATTTTATGTTTCTATATGTATTGTATGTTCCTATATGTATTGTAAGTTTCTATATGTATTGTTTGTTTCTATATGTATTGTTTGTTTCTATATGTATTTTATGTGTCTGTATTTATTTTATGTTTCTATATGTATTGTATGTTTCTGTATGTATTTTATGTTTCTATATGTATTGTATGTTTCTATACGTATTGTATGTTTCTAAATATATTGTATGTTTCTATATGTATTGTATTGTTATATATGTATTGTATGTTTCTATATGTATTGTTTGTTTCTATATGTATTTTATGTGTCTGTATGTATTTTATGTTTCTATATGTATTGTATGTTTCTATATGTATTTTATGTTTCTATATGTATTGTATGTTTCTATATGTATTGTATGTTTCTATATGAAGTGTATGTTCCTATATGTATTGTATGTTTCTGTATGTATTGTATGTTTCTATATGAATTGTATGTTCCTATATGTATTGTATGTTTCTATATGAATTGTATGTTCCTATATGTATTGTATGTTTCCATATGTATTGTTTGTTTCTATATGTATCGTTTGTTTCTATATGTATTTTATGTTTCTATATGTATTGTGTGTTTCTATATATATTGTGTGTTTCTATATGTATTGTATGGTTATTTATGTATTGTATGTTTCTATATGTATTGTTTGTTTCTATATGTATTATTGTTTCTATACGATTGTATGTTTCTATATGTATTTTATGTTTCTATATGTATTGTATGGTTATTTATGTATTATATGTTTCTATATGTATTGTTTGTTTCTATATGTATTGTTTGTTTCTATATGTATTTTATGTTTCTATATGTATTGTTTGTTTCTATATGTATTTTATATTTCTATATGTATTGTGTGTTTCTATATGTATTGTATGGTTATTTATGTATTGTATGTTTCTATATGTATTGTATGTTTCTATATGTATTGTATGTTTCTATATGTATTGTTTGTTTCTATATGTATTTTATATTTCTATATGTATTGTGTGTTTCTATATATATTGTGTGTTTCTATATGTATTGTATGGTTATTTACGTATTGTATGTTTCTAGATGTATTGTTTGTTTCTATATGTATTGTTTGTTTCTATATGTATTGTATGTTTCTATATGTATTGTAAATTTCTAAATATATTGTATGTTTATATATGTATTGTATGTTTCTATATGTATTGTATGTTTCTGTATGTATTGCAGGTTTCTACATGTATTGTATGTTTCTATATGCATTGTATGTTTCTATATGTATTTTATGTTTCTATATGTATTGTATGTTTCTATATGAATTGTATGTTCCTATATCTATTGTATGTTTCTATATGAATTGTATGTTCCTATATGTATTGTATGTTTCTATATGAATTGTATGTTTCTATATGTATTGTATGGTGCTGTATGTGTCATATATAATACCTTTCACATGGTCATATTGATATTCACTCTGATCTACAGCTTTAAGTAAACATTCTCCGTCCATCCCGTGAGCTTTCATGGCGGCGTAGATTTGGGGGAACCGGATATCCGGGCATCTGTTACATAACGCGATTAAGATGCGCGTGACGATTGACCGGAAGGAGAGGTATCGATACTCCATGAGTGTCTGGTCAATTAGTTGACTTGGACAGCCAAGCACCATGAAAAACATTTGGAAGGACCCGTCGATGTACTTGGAAATTCTTCCAATCTCCCGTACTGTGGGTTTTCGGTCCGGAATACCAGCCGGCGAAGTTTTATCTACAAGACACAAAAATTGTATTTATCACAAGAAACTTCTTCTTTTGATATATACGATATATTGAGCTATTTGTCCAGGTCACATTTCGTTCAAAAGCAATGTACAAGATATCAAGTTTTACTTTATAATTGATAAACACTATACTCTAACAAAGAAAAACATATGTATATGATTGAATCATTTGCTCGTTTTACGTTTCATATTAAAAGTTCAGGAAGCATTTAAAGTAACCTTGAAATGAATAAAATTATATTGAAACAGACAATACGGAATAAACTGTTTTTTAACTCGTGCTACATTTTATAAATAAGCATGATATCAATAATAACATATAAATAGTTTAACATTTTTTTAAACTATTCATAAAATGAAGAGTTACTTACCAAGATCAGAAATACTGTGTTCCTAATAGGAAATAAAAACAACATGTAGTCAGTATCATATGACCTTACCTCGCCCCCTATAGTTATTAAAAATGCAAGTTTGAAATAACAAAATACAATTTAGTCTTCGGAAAGAACATAAATATCTTAATCCAAAGTAACTTTTCATTTTCATTTTGTCCTTATTTTCCTTTCTATTGTAGCTTTTGTTCATTTTATTTATTTATTTATTTATTCATTTATTTATTCTTTAACGATGAAGTACGCCAAGCAGTTGAAAAGTTTTTCGCAACAAAGCTGGTTTTCCAAATCATGTACTTTATTTTTGTCCTTATTTTTTTTTTTTTTGTTCATCTTCATCTTTCCTGTCTTGAGCATTGTTTCTTACCACATCCGGTTCTTCAAACCAGACTTCGTAGTCCTTCCGCTCAAGCCATTTTGTCCCGTCCGAATCATAACATTTCATAGAGGGCTCCAGCATCAGGTCATTTGCCCGCACTCGTCTCTCGTCCTGAGTGAACCGGAAGTCGGTGTGTAGGAAATAGTCAAACCCCAAATGACTTTGTTGGTTCATTTGAAGAATCCTGTTCAGTAGATAATCTAACACTTTCTGTAACTGCACTCCAGCACCCGCCTTACGAACGAGGCCTTTTTCTTTCTCTGTCGTGAACATGATCACTTTCATGACGTTATCATGACAGTTCAGAATCATATTCCATTTGTGATCGACGGACAAACAAACAAAGCCACATTGTAAAAACTGTGACCCATCGTACCCCGGCTCGTTCAATGGCTGAAAGCGGACCATACAAGCAGCAATGGTTTTGTCCCATATGGCCTGCGGGATGAAGGGGTTGTCAAACTCGATACAAAGAACGGGAGTCATGACAATGTTTTGGTCAGAGAGTACGGGCAGTATTGCGTTCGGGTCGGACGTCTGCAGCATACAGGGGACTAGATAAAATGTCACATCTTTTTTCAGGTCCTCGGGCAACGGCTTAGAGATCAAACCAAGGCACTCCATAACACAACAAAGAATCTCGTATTTTTCAAGAAACCCACAGGAGGGATCCTTCGACCATAAGGCTTTCAAAAATGCAAATGACAATTTTCCGGTCTTTTCATAGTCTTTCCATTGTAGTTTTTCCTTTGGTGATAGTCCCTTCTTAAATTTTGGAGCTGTGATAATGTGTTTGAAAGCATCTATCATCCATTGGGGTTTTAACATGACTACGGGTGTAGATCCTTCAAGACCGTATGACAGGATAGACCCAGAGAGATGTAGGTGTCTACAATAAAAAGCATCAGTAAAATATACCATTATGATGATTTTCACATGTTTCATACGTGTAATCCGATGACCCCGAGCTTTGCATTTAGCCGTAGGGCTTGATATTTATATTATTCCAAAGTGAGATTTGATTTACAACAGGATAGTTATAGTTAGATATTTTTAATAAGGAAAGAGTTGCATTTATTTGAAATACATCGGATTTATAGTGTGAAAAGCTATATGACACACATGACGTCATTATGCAAAACAATAAATGACGTCACATTTAAATATAGTCCTTGCTACAGCTGATTTGACTATTAGAATATACACGAATATAAGAGAACGCTGTATATTCTTTTGCCTGGAATTTAATCCGGTATTGTTTCTTCAAGATATTCGTTTAATAATGAAGTATAAGTTTTACTCAAATAATTTAAATCTGTAACGTCTATAAGGGTGCTGAAGACACCTTTTCCCTGTTTCTGTATTTTTTCCTTTGTTTCGGATTATATTAGATGTCATTGTTTATTCTTCTGGTCTCTAATATAACTAATGAGTCCTACATGTAAGTAATATTAAAATGGTACATATATGTTAGCAAACGTTGCTTTCAGTATGTTTCCTTACTGCTCATTTCTTAAAACTATTCAAATGCTAGGAATATTATTTCTTGTTTCAAGTAAGTATAATAAGTTTTTTCCTCCATTTAAATATCCAAACGTTCATAAAAAATCGAATAAAAAAAAATAAAAAAAATCTCAAAAAGAAGGGAGACAATCAACACATATACTGTGAAAGTGTAATTTCAATTTACTTACAACAGAAAGGGTTTGAGATCCTCTGTGGGGAGAGGCACGACCAACGCGCTGTTGATGGCCACAAGTTCTTGATACGTGAGCACATTTACATCCTGGTCCTTCTTTTTGAACAGCTCCTGCTCAAGCGCGAGCCATCTGGCTGGGACAAGGGCTTTCCACTGAGATTGTAAATGTGCCACATCCACGATTTTGTCCCACAGTTCTTGGTACAGAGCCTCGTTCTGGCACGAGTCGTGCATGTTGTCTATGTGATACATATCCTGAACGTGATGTTCCATTATTTCTCTAATGGCTGGTTTGTCATAAAGCTTCTCCAGGACTTCGCCGAATTTTGTGTCCTTTTCCTCGTCCTACATTTAAAAAAGTATGATAATACAGCACTATAAGCAAACTCTAATTCGAAAACAAAATTGATGAAGCGTGCGCAAAATATGATAATTGTAAAGAAAAAAATAAGTTTACGAAGAAGGTGAATACGGCCATGTGTCGTGGAGGTGTGGGTGTCTTCTGTTGCATCAAAGACACTTGTGGTGTAAATCTAAGACAAACCTAAGTAATTCCACGTTCTCAATTTCAGAACCGGGTAAGTGACGACGAAACTATGTATTAATCATATTTAAAAAATGTTAATATTCAATTATCACAAGGAAACAGAATATTTTTTCACATCGAGACAATGCTGACGCTCATTAAGTATAGTCAATAGTATTCACTAAGTCGTAACTTTTTAAACTATATTGATACATTTGCCATTCAATTCAATATTCGACATACATCACGGACATAGCTGTATTCGGAACAAGACGAACACAACAAAGACCGTTAGTCCGGTACAAAAGCAACTGATGTTGCAGTTTATGACGTTTCGATAGAGCACACGTACACCAGGTGTACTTTGTTCCTGTGTTAATTGTAAGTACAAAATAGGAGAAATATTCAAGGGCAGTTTGTGTTAAAGAATCTGATTGTTATTTTAATTTTTTGACAGTAGAGCACCAACCCTTTAGAATGGAATGAACGAACGTGCAAGAATATGCTGTACGTGTAATATTTGTTTGGTTAATTTTATTGATTTTATCATTTAATTTGTTTATGTTTTTTTCTTTTTTTATCTTGACAGTTTGTGTCATTGAGAGTATGTTCGACTGTTTAAGCAAATATGATATACTTACAGTCCCTGCAACAAGATCCATATGGGAGCCAATCAAAATAATCGGCGGCGTTCCTAGTTCACTTTCGGTTTTGTCAATAGCATAGGTGGCAATGGACCGCAACCAAAACTGTATTCTCTCTACAAACGTAGAAATATTGAAGATCGATATGTAAACTGTATCTTGTTACACTGTTATCACTATACACTTGATGCATATGTTTCGTTGTATTTAGCCAGTATAACAATATTCAAGCTCGGGTGACGGATGCGTAGCCTATCTGTCAAATCATACATCGGTACCAAGATGTTATGATGGTTTTCATGGGTTTTAGATTATTTCTTGTATACTAACTGTATATAAAAGAGTTAGGGTAAAGTTATTACCAATGTTTTATTTTTCATTATTGGTGGAACTACGGTTCTCGTGCTACTATCTGTGACGTTATCTTCCAGTGGAATAACATTTAATATAAGTGTACACTTGTATTCCACATTAGTAGCTTATTGAAACAAACAAATGATTGACACATCCGGGTTCTGTCAGCTATGGTTCCAAATTTAGATTTATCTCACTGAAGGATGTATGATGCGTTTGCTTGACATCCAAACAAAACATTCAAGTCAACTATGTTCATGAAATAGCAATACGATGTCAAAGGAAGTTGATTCGTAACTGACGCATTACATTGTGACTTTATTGTTCCTGTAGTACTGATCAAATAACGCAGTCATTTATGGTGTCGATTGAAACCGCAATTAATATTACGATGCTTGTGTACTTACCGAAACCTTCCTCTTCTGTTTCTGAATCCAAACACATCGCTACATCAAACACTAGCAAGAAGATCATATCGCTCGACAGAAGACAATGGTGTGTATTGTAGAAAATTTTCTCGCCACCAAAGTCATAAATGGTCACAAATCCTGTTTGCTCCTCCTCGACATCGCCAACATCCATCACAGTTTCCATGGTAGCCATTTGATCATCTGTTACCTTTAGTTCTGGTTCAAGACTCATTTCGTCTAGTTCAAGAAAAGGGCTAGGAGGGGTGGTTGGAGTTGATGACGGATCATCTGTGAATGCTGTAATAAAAAGAAGAGGGAAATACTACACAATGTTCAACGATATCAGCATGGTATGGCGATACAGGACCTCAAAGTGAACATGAAAAGGCAACAAGGTACCAACAAGAACATGCGAGAGACCATATTGCATTTATGAACAAACTTCTTTGATTTACGTATGGAAGTCTTAAAAACATGGGCAAGATTTATTTGTCGGCATCACACAGGAGTGATTCATATTTTGTCTCCCACAATTTCCTATTTAGATGTTTCATCATTTTCTCCTACAATCATAACTAATTGGTATGTTGAACCCGATGCAATCATCAATGACGAGCTTTATAAACTGATATGGTTACGGTGATGCAGCGCTGTTCCCCCTTAGAGAGGTAAAGAAAGGTTTTTCTCTCGTTTCCCTGTGTGTAAGATAGAGCTGTCGAGGGTAAGAAAGGGGTGTAGGCAAGTTCTATCTTACACCCCATTTCACGTGACGTGACCTCACAATGGCTCAACAATGACGTGACGTCACGAATTTGAAACTCTCCGATGTCTCAATACGGAAAAGGCGACGTGATGAAATAAAAAAAACTTTCACGATATATTTACCGTACACGTTAGAAAGATGCAATTATTTTTTTCTGCGCAAACATTGTTTGCAAATATGAGATATGCTAATATCTAGATATGGCTGGTTGATTCGTTTTCGTCTAAAAAGCTCAGTGGAAAAAATGATATTTTCAAAATGGTGGCCAGTCCAAACGCATTTTCATGGTTTCTGAGCTTATTCTGGTGGTTTAAAAGTGAAAGTAAATACTCTTTCATGCCCAAGGGTGCAGGATAGAGAAATTCCAGGTTTTCAAATTTAGCAACACCCTCGGCTCCTATGCATGAAAGAGTCTTATAATCTTTTCCCTGAAAAACAACCGCAGTGTACATCTATTAAGTAAATGTTGGCATAGTCATGAAAAATATTTACCGCTAAAAATATACAGGTACTAAAAAATATGGGTACTCATAATGACAAATGTTTAACGCACCACGTGTGGCCCCCGTCATCATTTTACCTGTCGTAAACTGAAGGGTGTGTCTAATGATTTAACACAGGTAGTTTTGATTTCAAATTGCCTTCGAAGGATGCATGATATATTAACAGAACACAACATCCTATATTGCACGCCAAATCAAACCAATGGGAAATTGAAATATCGGGTATATCTCCTAGATTGTAACACAATTGCTTGGTCAGCTATCTGCTAATAAGATACTTAGGCTATTCCCCATGTCTGCAGTTTTCATAAATTGAAATGCTGCCAAAGATGCTTTAAAAGGAGAATGCACTGTTCACGTTGGACTGGTGTTATTGATAGAGTGACGTCACATACTTACTATACGATCTCGTATCGACCTTTGACACACTCGCCTTGATGTCGTCTGACTCATCTGATTCTTCTGAAGTATTCTCTCTGTAATACAAGTTAGTGTTTTTGTGTATATTGCGTTCCCAAATTAATTATTAAAGAGAATCAATATACTAGTAGGCTAGCTGTATAAATAAAAGGATTCTTAAATCATGTATAGCATAACAAACCAAAACACAGCAATATAAAAAACAGAGATATTTAGCATAAAAATATCCTTTCTTACAATTGTACAAACGTAGCACCTGCTATCGGTTTGTTATGGTGGCTGGTTAGGGCCAAATTACAAATATCGTCATCTCTCTCCCTCGACCTACAGGATACCTACTTTCGCTCTCCAGAGCATATTTACCTAATACGTTTAGTTCATTAATTAATCATTTGGTTTGTGTTTAAAGCCAATCAAGTGATAGACCGAAATAATGTAACATATTTTGATGACGACATACCCAAAGTTCTATTTTCCCCCAAAAAAGTAACCACCTGTCACACATGAATAATCGCCTGCAACCACGCATTTTGACATTGGAACATCGGGTATACCCGATTTTAGAACAACTGAAATGTTCATGACGAAGAACTGCGCATGGTCTTATTAGCGTCATTATTTGAGAGAGTACATGGAATTGAGTCTGTTGAAATGTCCGGGTCATTTAGAATTCCGGCACGGCGAATTTAAAACAAGGCATTTTATGGATCAAATCATTGCGCCATTCATCAAAATACATTTATTTGGAAACAAACTTGATGCACTTTTTGTACAATTTTGTTATTTCATTCAATTTCTAATTTTAGAATTAAATTATAAGGATTGGACAAGACAAGTATATGTTCAATCAACGTATAGAATAGTTCATTTCAATGTATTACCTTTCCCAATCCTTAAAATGGATAAAGATGTTCAAGGTTGATCTTCCTGTACATCGTTTGCCTCAAACCTGATGTAAACTGGATATCTAAGCATGAAACATGTATGCGAACCTTACCCCACCTTGTCCCTGTATCGCCGGATCACCCGTCGGAGACGTTGTCTACCAGTCTCCATTTCTCTTCCATCTTTAACTCTCTCTCGTTTTCGCGTCTTCTGGTTCACAAACAGATGGTTGGTCAGCAGATTGGCCGTATCTGTGGATCCAGGACCACCAGGTGGTATCTGTTCTTCTAACAGTTGTTTGACCAGACATGTCTTGCCTACGCCTTCGTGCCCAATACAGGTGATGGTGATATTCGATTTTTCTTCAACGTTTTCACCTACTCCTCGTTGGTATTCTAAAAAAGAAAATCTCAAATCTTGAGTCGAGTAAATGAAATAATTAATGTCAGTTTCTTAGAAATGGAAAAGCAATATACATATATGTATGTCGGTACCAGACAATTTATGTCGATCCTAGCTTTATTGTTAATGTAATAGTAATAATTTAATATCCGTGTATCACAATCTTATAATTTTTGTAGAGATTGACATCTTAATGCATGATGACAACATATTGACGGTAAGTTAATAAATCTTCACCCAGAAATAAAATTTCCTTTAAAACCTTGTAAACATCGCAAGGCGAAACAGAAATACATGTCGTACGATATATATTTATGACAACATCAATCTGTTTGATGATTTTTTCCAAATTTCATTGAACAACAACAAAGTGATTGGAATCTTAGCACACCGAAATAATATTTGATATTATTTAGAGCATTTAAAAAAAATCAATAATCCTAATTATCTAGTGAGTCGAAACAACTTTTATTTTGTTCAGAATTGTTCACAAAATGTATAGAGGTGGTTTCATGAGTTCATTTTTATGATAATTTCTAGGCTAGTTTCTATATTGTGTTTTAATGGAACACAATTAAGATCCTGTTTATTACATAGGCATATGTATACACAAATATCGCATTTTTTTATTTTTAGATCAACAAAAGAGTTTATTTTCATTTTCAATCTAATGTGTCTTTCAATATTGTCGTATGAAAAATGATTATCGCCATCTATTAACTTTTGTGTTCATTCTTCAATGATTTAATACTTATTTTAATTGTTTGTACAATAAATAAAGTCATGCGTTTCAGATTATCATTTAAGTAATGAATGTTTTTGCAAATGTTGTTATGGTCATATAACACACATTGTTATTGGTGATAAAACTTAATTAAGCCAGGCAGGTCTTTACGTAAGTTTGTCAGCAATAGAAATATGTGTTATGCTAAAATGTTCATTATTTATATTTACATTTTGATGAAATAGGTACGTTTTATTTAGTTATTTCGAATAGTTCTTTGGACAGCAAATTAAGTCTGACAGCAATGAAATGTATGACGTCATAAAGGCGATTGATGACGTTACAATAGCAAATGCTGTAAAAGTCTCACAACAACAGTTGCCCTCTCAATTCATTGCAATGGAAGGATGCAGAGCACATGTAAATATAGTTTCTTGTGTTCAAAAACTTTAAAACACATTGTGTTATGTATCCCGAACAAATCTTCTCATTTTTTTGTATACTTTATTCAGTTTTATTATCGTTAAACTTTATTAAACTTACCCTGTTTACAGACGAATTGCCAAAGTTTTTTGTGATCCTCACTCCTATTCCGCCAGCGTCGTATAACGTCGGTGGGTCGTCGTCCCACTTTAGAGCTACGACGTAAAGCATCCGGACACATCTTACAGATGTTGGCCCAGATGTCAAACCACACCCGTCCCATTATAGCCATATAATGTAGCACGTTATCACCGCCAACATCGAGAAGTGACAGGGACTCCGGTGGTGTTACATTTAGCAGGTATCGTGCTACCTAAAACCAAGGGAAACCTTGTTTATCACATATCTGACCCATTTTACCATGTCATACGGCCATGTCATAAATATGGTACTACACATATGTAAATAAATCTTAAGGTGCTGCGATTTGCCGAAACCATGGGCAGGTATACCTAGGCCACTAAAGGTACTAATTCTATTTACTTTTCCACTTTATACATTTACTGTCATTTTAAAAGAATTTGAAAAGTTTATTTTGTTATCATTATTATTTTCATTGCGTTTAAAACTGATCATTATCAACAACACAAACCTTGAATTTCTTTGCACTGCGCAGAACGACAATACAGTGATCTGAGTACTTTGGTGTGGATTATATCTTATCAGTTGAGAACCCAAAGTTTTGAATATTTTTTTCTCAAATTATGAATGTTATTTGATAAATGTTATCTTACATGAGTGTCCATGTCATACTGAATTTATCATACTCGTTAAATGCATGTAAATTCAATATGACATGGACACTCATGTAAGATCCTCTATGTAATGGACAGAAATAAGCACAGACTAGATTAATTCAATTCATTAAAGATCTTCAATTAATGGGATTATTTGTTTATTCGTCTTTTTAACTTTATTTTATAATTAGAAATCAGGACGGATACATCCGTTTCCTATTGCGTTAGTACAAACTTGTAGGTCACAGCCGCGATAGTGTCAGAACTACTACAATAAGCATGACGTCATGTATTTTGACGTTGCAGTTGAGTCGGTAGAATTGACGTCATATTTGTTGATGTCGCAATTAAGACAATGGATGTGACGTCATGTATTGAGTAGGTCAAAAAGACAACATTAAAAAAAAATGTTTTTATTTTCAGTTGGTTCTAAATTTATTTACAAGGTTCGTTTACGAATACAATTTTAGCCATCTTTTAACAAGGAATACGATTTACGAAACACGATTCTATGGTATCTAATGAAAACTGCGAACGTTCATGATAATGAGATGAGAAATACGACTGTCATGCTGAACTTTCAAATTTAACGTACAATAATTGGGAATCGGCAACAATGTTTACATCAAAACTGCATTTATCTCTCGCGTGACAACACGTCGTTGGGACAAAGCAATACGCTTTGCACAATTGTGCAATAGGCTTCTTAGCTCAATGGAAATGGTTAGAAGGAAATAAGGGATCAATAGTGTTCCTATCGCTCCGAAACAGTCTCAGCAGATCAGGATGACGCCGTCTTACGAACGAGTAGACCATATGTTTTCAATACATATTTTTGCTAAGTCAGCTTTTCAATATACCTTTCTATGACCCCGAAGGACCGCCCACATCAATGGAGTTCGGCCCTGTCCGGACTGCTTGTCCACCTTATGGCCGGACCTGACCAGCTTATGGACCATTGGCAGATTACCAATGGTGGCTGCATCATGTAAAGGCGGTAGATACGACATCCTACTGTTATAAAGATAAAACAAATACTGAGTTATCAGTACATAACATCATAGAGCACTACAGTCATGTTTGTTGTAGACTTAGTGTCTTATTAACTCATTTGAGGAGTTTAAAATACTTAGTTGCTGAAACAAAGATCATGTTATAGGTGCTTTATACAATGTTCATGTTTGTGTATCTCTTTTGCGTTTATGAGTAACATGAACGTGTTATGGAAGTTGCTGATGTAAAATTAGTCGACATAGTCGCCAGGTAGATGATAAGTATGCTTCTTGGGCAATGGTTTAGTACAACATTTTATTTAAACATCTTATGTTTGGTTGTATTTTACGACCTACTATATGTAACACCGTTGGTCATTTAAGAACGAGCTAGATTTTGGTTTTGGAGGAACACTGGAGTGCCTGGAGAAAATACCGACCTGCGACAAGTACATTTGAATCTGTCCTACGTAGGCCTCGAACCTGCGTCTCAGTGGTGAAGGCTAATGATTATAGATGCGATACACCTAAACAACTCGGCTACCGCCGTCTCGCTATAATTCTATATAACCTGATCCAATGAGTGTGTGTATTGGGGGTTCTACTTGTCATGTGTCAATATTTCTAAAGGCTCACAAAACTTCAATTTCATAGTTTACAATTCGTAAAACATGAACCAATCGGTAATAAATTCCATTCTTGGCAGGTTTGGTTAGCAAGAAAAGGCAAATACTCATATGAAGGGGAAAAAGTCTGTCACCTGCAGGAAATGAAGTTGATGTCACAAGGATACCAATTAGGCTATGCGGTACAATGCCTGAAAAGGGAATTATTGTGACCAGTGTTTCCGTAGGGTCATTAAACAGAAAACAACATTGCATTTTTTTATGCTTAACATAATTGGTTAATTGAATTAAAATAAAAGATGAAAAAAGAAAACATAAACATTGTGGAATTATTTAGCATCAGTAATTGCTGTAAAGTATTACAGCATCGTCGATACAGGTTGTCGCTTTGAACATCATTCGGAGTGGACACGAATAAAATACTCTCAACCTTCTAAACTCACTTTAATCTCATATGAAATACTATTTCACTGTTTGATTATAACGAAACATTTTTTATAACGTAACAACAAAATTCGTCACGACAACTACGGTATCAAGATTGCCTGCGCTAAAGTTTCATGGTCGATATCAACAAGACGGAATATAATATAAGAATACGCCTTTCTATAATCTGATACGCTAGGCCATTTTCGTCAGGGCGTTAATAGGCTGAAGAATGCGTTAACCAGCATGGAAATACCATTTTTTAACATAACGTCGTCATCAAGGGAGTTAGTCTTTTGCTAGAGTATCATATTCTGAAAACTAAACTACCTTGCAGACTAACTTCCTCGGCTGTTTTTGTAACTTCTTTATGGAAATAACGGAGTTAATCAAGTGAGGCGGATCTTTTACTGACCTACAATGTATCTTCTCTTAGTCATCATTGAGATAAGAGACGATAATAAATAAGTACATAGTTCTTGATAAAATGTAGAAATGGCTAGGGAACATCGCGTTAGAAAATGTCTTCTTATAATTTCCACCATTTGTGGTAAAACAAGTGACTTGTCGAGATCTTTAGGGCGATTATTATTCTTTCAGCGAAGATATTACATCACATTTTAACACAAAGTGTTTGTGTATTTATTTCCTTGTCAAGATTAAAACAATGTATTTCCTTTTTTTTCCTTCTTTTTTTACCTATTTGGGATTGTGGGCCTACCGTGTATAGGTATGTGAGATAATATTCACACAATTTGTGTAAAATATGAACCAAATAATGCAAACGAAACGCTACATATAGCAAAACGCCAATATAATAGATTACACAAACTAAGGTCATATTTTGAAATAGTAAAAAGGATGGTATATCGTAGGTATACCTCGCATTTAGGATAAATGTCCATGCAAGATGTGCAGGGGAAGGTTGCGCAGTAATTGTTATATGTATCTAGTGTGTCATTCGACGACGACAGGATCTCATAATCAGCCATACGGCGTTTGACAGGCTTTTGATTGTGACGTCATAATGCTACGCCGTCATCTGGATTCTTAAGGGATATTATTAGTTATTCAGGTCTTTGGCAGGGTACATGGTCTCATGTTCGCTGTCAGGACCTTATGTACCCTGAGCCGAAGG